TTATAAAAGGATATTTGTATTTAATAACTGAAGGTCAAACAATGATCTATTGGAAGTCCTTGGTGTGGTAATTTGGATATTTGGTTTGCCCTCAGGTAATGACTATCTCAATGACTATTAGTACTTTATACCATAATATAAAAAGATATGATACAAATTGTCTTAATAGAAAATGTCTTTTCAAGTTACTGATCATTGCAGTGGTTCAAAAAGAGTATTTTTAAATGTTTTATAAAAATAAATGGAAGTATAGAACCATAGCATATTGAATATGAATATTAATTTTTAGATAGGCTTTTGGGCTAGGTTTTGTTGGATGTACACTTAGTTTATTTAAGTGTATTTAAGTGTATTTAAGTGTATTGATTCTTTGGATATAATGCAGAAAATAATTTATTGAGATAGCTTGAAATGAGTTTGGAGACATGTCTATAGTTATTTTCCCCCACTCCTAATTCAAAAAGACTATTTGCAAATACCAGTTTTACTTTAGCATGAATAAATCAGGAAATATAAATAATTATTTCAAGATACATGCATATTGTAGAACATATGGGTATAAAGAAATTTGTTTATTTGTGTAGACATTTGAGTTGTTTCAAGCCAAAAGCTGGAACAAATAATGGTGCTGTGAACATTCATGTACAAATGATTGTATGTGTATTTGCTTTCATTTCTTGTGGGTAAATACCTAGGAGTAGAATGTCCAGATAATATGGTAGGTATGTCTAATATTTTAATACCCTGGTGAACTATTTTCTGAGGTTGTTTTACCATTGGACATTGTGCCATTGTACGTTTCCACCAACAATGTATTAGAGTTCTAGTTTCTCCACAGCTTCACCCTACATATAACTAGGTATAATCAAATCTTTTAATTATAGATGTTAGAATGGTATCTCATTGTGGTTGTAAATTGCATTTCTGTAAGGACTAATGATATTGACTGCTTTTTCATTAGCATATTTCCCCTAATATGTCTTTCCTGGTGAAGGGTCAGTTTAAATTCTTTGACATTTTTAAAAATTACGTTGTTCATTTTCTTATTGTGTTTTGACATTTTTTCTATATTCTGAATATAGGCCCTTTATCAGATATATGATTTGCAAATAAATTTTCCCAATCTGTGACTTGTCTTTTATTTTTCTAACAATGTCTTATGAAAAGCAAAGATTTTAATATTTATTAAATTCACTTTATCATGGTTTTCTTTCATTGATAGTGCTATTGGTGTCATATCTAAGAAATCTTTACATATCTTAAGGCCATAAAGGTTTCTCTTTTGTTTTTTTCTTCTAGAAGTTTCATAGTTTGAGGTTTATATTTAGATCTATTATCAATTTTGAAGTATTTTTTGTATCAGTGTGAGGTTTGGATAGACGTTTTTCTTTTTCTCTTTCCTTCCCTCTTTCTCTGTATGATTATTCAAAAACAATTTTTTGAAAACTCTATCTTTTCACCACTGAATTGTATTTGCACATTTGTTGAAAATCAATAAACTATATATGCGTGGATCTATTTCTAGTCTATTTATTCTATTCTGTTGATATATTTGTCTAGCTTGGCTCTAATACTGCCCACTCTTGATTACTGTAGCTTTATAATAAGTTGTGAAATAAGGTCATGTTAGTCCTCCAACTTTGTTCTTTTTTATTTTTTTAAGTTATTTGATTATTCTTGGTCCTTTGCATCTACATGAATTTAAAAATGAATCTGTAAATTTCTACAAAAGTCATTATGGAATTTCAGGGATTGTATTGTATTTATAAAACAATTTTGGAGAAATGACATCTTAGCAGTATTGATTGACTGATGAATACAGTATACTTCTCTATTCCATTAGGTTCTCTTTATTTTCTGTCAATGTAGATTTAGTGATTAGAGCTTTCATATCTTTTTTCAGATTTATTCCTAAGTATTTCATAATTTTAGGCTATTATAAATGGTATTATTTTTAATTTTTTCTTTCTTTTTTTGCTGCTTTATGTAGAGTATAATTTATTTTTGTATACTTATCTGCTATAATGTTAAATAGAAATGGTGACAGTAGATATCCTCATCTAACTTTAGAAGCAATAAATTCAATCCATAACCATTACTTATGATTTTCTCTAAATTTTTATAAATACCTTTTATCAGGTTGGAGATGTTGCATGCTATTCCAACATTGCTGAGAGTTTTAATCAGAAATGGCTGTTGTTTCAATCCAATGCTTTTTCTACTTCTATCAAGATAGTTAATTTTTTTTTGGTGAATTGTATTGATTGATTTTTGAATGTTAGACTATCCTTTCATTG